ATAGCTAAAACAATTTTGAAAAAGAAGAATAAAGTGGGAGGAACCAGTCTACCCAATTTATAACAAGATATTATTTAGCTTATTAATCAACACTATGTGGCACTGGTGGAAGGATGGACACACAGATCAATGGAACAGAATAGAGAAAATAGAAATAGACTCAGTTAAATATGCCTGATTGATTTTTGATTAAAATGCAGGAACAATTCAAAGGAGGGGGAATGACCTTTTCAACAAATGGTGCTGGAGAAATAGAACATCTATAGGCAAAAAAAAAAAGAGAGAGAGAAAGAAAAAACTCAAACCTCATTTCTTACATAAAAATTAAGTCAAAATGGATGATAGATTTTAAATGTAAATTGTAAATTCATAAAACTTTTAGGAGAAAATATTCAAATCCTAGAGCTAGCCAAAAGTTCTTAGAATTGACATGGAAAATAGAAACTATAAAAGTAAAATTTGATAAGTTGGATTTCATCAAAATTTAAAATGCTTGCTTTGTGAAAGACCCCATGAAAAGGCTGAAAGGAAAACTATAGATTGAGAGAAAATATTTGCAAACCACATATCTGTTAAAGGGTTATTATCTAGAATATATAAATAACCTTTAAACCTCAATAGTAAAAAAAATTTTTTAAATGGCAAAGATCATGAACAAATATTTCCTCAAAGAGGATATACAGATGGCAAATTATTATAGGGAGAGATGTTCAACATCATTAGCTGTTAGAGAAACACCAATTAAAAGCACAGTGAAACATCACTTTACACTTATCAGAATGGCTAAAATAAAAATATAGTGACAACACCAAATTCTGATGAGGAGGTAGACGCTACGTCACTCACATGTTGCCGGTGAAAATGTAAAATGGTACAACCACACTGGAAAACTGTTTGGCAGTTTCTTTAAAAAAAACTAAACGTGACCTTGCAATTGTATTCCTGGGCATTTATCACAAAGAAATGGAAACTTTATGTTCACACAAAAACCTATATATGAATGTTCACAGCAGCTTTATTCATAAGATGCCAAACTAGAAACAACTCTGGGTCCTTAATGGGTAACAAGAAGACAAACTATACTAGTTAGCAATAAAAAAGAACAAGCTCTTGATAAACACAACAATATGGATGAATCTTCAGAGAATTATGTCGAGTGGAAAAAACCCAGTCCCAAAAGGTTACATACTATACGATGCTATTTACATAACATTCTTGAATTGACAAAATTATAGGTATGGAGAACATATTAGTGATTTCCAGGGATTAAGGACAGGTGGTGGGGGGAGGATTAGATGTGGCTATAAAACAGCAACTTCCAATGTGATGATGGAAATGTATATTATATACATTTGTATACAAAGTGTATAATGTGTAATGTATGATACAATGATATTGTATCAATAAAGGAGCAGAATTGTAACTACTCTGTATCTTGACTGTGTCAATATCAGTAGTGATATTGTACTATAGTTTTGTAAGTGTAGTTTTGTAAGATGTTACCGTTGGGTAACATGGGGGAAGAGGGTACATAGGATCTCTCTATCTTATTTCTCACAACTGCATGTCAATTTACAATTATTCCAAGATAAAAAACTTAATTAAAAAAAAAGGCAACGCAGCTTCTGTCTGTTTCTTTCTATTGGGTCACACTCATTTGGAACCCAACCTCTATGCTGTGAAGAAGCTAATCAGCAACATAGGCCAAGTGTAGAGGCTTGGGCTGACAGCCCTAGCTAAGTTTCCAGGTGACAGCCAGCATCAAGCACCAGACATGTGAATGAGCAAGCCTGCAGATGATTCCAGCCCCCAGCCGTCCTTCAAGCTGCCTTGAGCCCCATGTGGAGCAGAGACTAACTGTCCTCATCAAGCCTTCTCCAAACTACACATTCTTGTGCAAAAAACACCCAGCTTGTTGCTGTTTTCAGCCACTAATTTTAGGATGGTTTGTTTCATAGCAATAGGTAATTGGAAAAAAGAGTGACTTTTGTCTATGAACATCCCACAGAAAAAGAAGAGAATGGCTTTTTCATTGAACCTTGATGTTAAGCAATGATGGCATTTTTTGAAGTATCAAATTATACCTTTGGACAATTCAGACTAGCTTCATTCCAATCAGCCTTAATTAGTGAGGTTATATTATAGCTACCATATTCCAAATTACAAATTGGGCACATCATTTGGTTAAAGATTATTATAGTTTGGATACTAAAATGAAATGTCTGAGGTTTTCAGGAGTTTATGGTACAGATTATTTGAAATTAGGATTATCTTGGAAGATCTAAGAATTTATAATTATAAATTATTATTGCCAAGTGGGTTGTTATGAATTACAAACTATCATAGCTTACCAAAAATACACATCTTACCACTGTAAATGATTACTAATGTCAAGTCATCTATATATTCACTTCTTCTTGCTAATGAATCAGGCTAGATACAAACCTTTTCACCTGTCATTGGGCATTTTGGTTCTGCTGTAGTTGGCAGATACAAGAAGACCAGATACAAAATCAGGCTGCACATAGGTAAGAGCCATTTTTTTTTCCTGCTTTCCATTATTCTTTCAAACAGCCTGTCTAACATTTGTTAATAGTCCTCTTATCCGGTTCAGGCTTTTTTTCACCTGGGAATTTCTGGTTTAGCTGGTCAGACGCTGTTTTCTCTCTGGTCCTTCCAACATCCCCTTCATCATTACTGATAGTTTCTGGATCTATACCTACTGAGACCACAAGTTTCCATACTCTTATGCTTGGAATGAAAAGTCTTCGTACTCTTGGTCTCATGGGTGAAGGTAAAAGTAGCTCAATAAAGCTTCACATTACATTTTCTTCAGTACTACTTTTGTCCTTCCAGAGCAATCTCTCCTCATTTTCTCCCTTTTCTTTTTTCACACTGAGACACTTTTACATTGCCATATGCCTTGCCTCTTATTGCACTGCCTCCCTGTCATATAACTTGTGCTACAGAACCAGTAATTTTTTTTTTTTTTTGGTGCCCATCTAAATTTCAAATACCAATTTCCCCTCTGGCTAAATATACCCTGGGACAAATCACTCACATTCCCTAAACCTCGTCATTTGTAAAATGGGAATAATAATGGCTCTTGGTAGGATTAATCGAAGTCTCCTTTACTCCTTTTCCTTTTGTCCTTCAAACCCTGAAATGTGATATTTTGATGAATGGTGTTGATTGAGTTGGATTGGGAGACTGGCCTTAAGGCAGTGGCTGACTGGAGATTCTGGAGGTCACACAGGGAGATTTCTGGACAAGGGCACCAGAAAGAACTAAGCTCAAAGGTAGCCTTAAGCTTGGTGCTTTTGGAGCCCTAAAGAAAAGCACATCTGATATTTTTCCTTTTGCTTTGTATTTAGAACTGTGAGGAGAGAGGTAAGTGTAGAGGGATGAAAAAGATACGGAAAATACTAACAATGGGAGAGATGGGAGAAAAGACAGCTGTAATACAAGAGAAAGCAAGAAAGAGAGAGGGAAAATAAATCTTCCAAAACAAAAAAGGACCATATGAGATCATGAAAGAAAACGATTATTTCAAAAGGATTCATAATCCTAGTCCCTAACACATAACCTATTTTTATTTTTCCATCTCCTATCCTGGATCTTGATCATATAAATCCATTGTTTTATGTGGTTGCAACCTCAGCAAAACAAAGTTTGTCTTCTCTGGTAAGATTAACATGTAATCCTGATGTCAATCTGCCCTTTTAGATAATTTTCCACATTTGATGACCAAAATAACCAGGTCTAGCTTGTGTATGTCCTAGCGTCTCGTTATTTTGGTCACAGAAACCCTGCAGAATAAATCAATTTAGCACATGTCTTCTTGACTACTGTAACGTTGAAGCAGGCCAGAAAAAACGCATTTGCTCCCTACATAGACGATATAAATCCGTCATTCCCCAAATTGCTGCGTCCCTTTGGACTGGGTCCCATCAGCAGAAGTAGGAGCTGAGCAGTAACTAAAGCATGTGGCCATTCGCCGTCACGCGTCGCTTCGGGACAGCAGGGGGCGCGCGAGGTCCAGGGCACCAGCCCGCGTAGTCAAGGGGCGTGGCTCTGCATCCTTGACGGACAGCTAAAGATGCGGGTGAAGATGAGGTAATACGAGCCGGAGCAATGAGGGCGTGGGGGTGTGGGTGCGTGTGTGTGCGAGTGTGAATGTGTGAGTGCGTGCGCGAGCCAAAGACACTGCGTGTCTCCGAGCTGGCGCTGCAGACACTGACCACACTGCATTAAATAAAAAGAAATTCCATTTCTGGGAGGAAGGCTGCAAATTTGCAGCCGGGCGACAGCTGCGGTCCCGGGGCCGTGTCATGGCGGGTAGCTCTTCGGCGTCCAGGGCCTGGGGAAACCCCCGCGGGCGCGGGTTTGCCCTAGCGCCCCGCTTGGGAGGGGCGATTCATTCTGGAAGCGACTGAGCAGAGCCACAGGGAGGGGGAGCTCTCGCCAAGGCGGCGACAGCATTTCGTGCGGCGAAAGCGGGGGGAGGGTGGGCAGAGGGGAGGGAAACACGGCGTGCCATTCCGAGCGCGGTCGCGAGGCGAGATCCCACCCCGGCGTCCGCAGAGCCCGAGGCGCAACTGGTGCGAGGGCTCGGTCCTCGCCTCACTGTTAGTTCCAGTTCGCGGCCGCCAGGCTCTGGCCGCGCGCCCGCCGGGTGGCTTTGCAAGGCGGGGGCCTGTTTGCAGAGAGCCGGGCATTTGCATGAAGCGACTCGACCCCACGGAGCAGCGGCAGCAGCGGCGGCAGCGGCGGACCCCGGCGGCGGCGCGCAGTCGGAGCCAGGCGGCCCCGGTCTCCTGGCCCCGGTGGATGCGCTGCTGGCGAGCGGCCCATGGGCCGGAGCTGAGGCTG